AAGAAGAGAGAATCTCCCTACGGTCGGTTAAACTTTTTCCTATACTGTATAGCAATCAATAGTAACAAACATCAGGATGGAATTTTATATATGATTGTGTAAGTGCAGAAAAATATTCACAGCCTCATAAAAAGGGCAATAAAATAATAATTTTAATATGAAATGTATAATGTTATGGTAAGTAGAATGAGTTAATGTTCAAGTTATTTCTAAAGGTATACCTAATAAGATTCAAATATGACCATGTGGTATGTGGCAAAACAACTCATCATTTGTTGATTTAGGTAATTAAAAATGATTTTGAATTGATTCGAGTAAGCAATAAAAGGATTAAAAATATTTGTAAAGGTAATTTGGTTGTCTTCTAAAGTTAGTAATTTATTTTCAAATTCTTATTACGTTTGTGGTCACATGTTTTTATCGTATGTTCTTACGATTTTAATTTTGATTTAAGCAACGGCTAATCGTAATGTAAAAAACCCGTACTTTAATTGCCTTTGTATGTTCACAATGCATTACAATTTAAAATTTTTTATTTTCAGGAACTCAGAAAATATAGACTTATTTGGAACTGCTTCGTCTTATAAACACACCTAAAAGAGTGCTTTTCTGTGTTGTGGAAACATTATCATGATACTAGTAATTAAATTTCAAATGATACGGTTAAGTCTAAACTGCAACAAAACTAGTCTACATAATTTAACTGCTACAGATGAAGTTTAACAGCAAAACTATAGTATTACACATGTAAAAGTTAGAAGACAATTTTAAAATGAAAAGAAAAAGATTCTAGCACTGCTGAATTTTAAATAGTAAAATCAATTTTAAATTCAAACTGTCTAACGTCGTATCTTGCAGGATTCCCCAAGGAACTCCTACCGAAGGAAGTCACTGCTTCTTGCCAATACGTCGAACCACAAAACGAATATTCTCGTTTATTTATTTGACTCTTGAACTTGTTTCTTGTAAAAGAAAACCTCCTCTGACCGCTGCTGACTTGCCAGAAATCGTAAATTTTCCCAGCGTTGTTTATTACCTTGCAGAGATTAATAGTGAACAGAACAAATATATATCTCCACAAATCATTCTTGAAAACTGAAAATACGACCACACCGCTTTTTAAACACTTTTCATAATAACCCAATTTTCATATTTATTTATTCCACTGATTTGTAGGTAGCATGGAAATGAACAATGGAATTTTTGAATAGCTTAGGTACAATAAATCAGTCGGAAAAGAACGTTAGAAAACCGATGAAAATGGAACAGCTCTCCTTAAGCCTCTTCATAAAAAATACTCACTTCCAATTATAAAGAGAACAGACAAAATGATGAAGAAGAGTAATATTGGATACAACACTATTCGAACAACGAATATTCATGAGCGTGCATTATGAACTCAAGATGGTACCCTCAATCAAAATGGGCGACATAAATAAAAAAAGATAAGTCAGGAAGGAAGGAGTAGTAGAGTTATAAGGCAGAGGATAGCGCAGGGTCGAGTCGCCTTCAATAAAAAGAAGTCACTTCTATGTTAGCGAACGGTTAATTTAGAAATTCGAAAAAGGTTGTTAAAAGTGTATGTTTGGAGCAAGGCGCTGTACGGATGCGAAACATGGACAGTGGGCGCAGCGGAAAGGAATAGGTTAGGTTAGGTTAGGTTAGGTTAGGTTAGGTTCCAAAACATGGACAGTGGGCACAGCGGAAAGGAAAAGGTTAGGTTAGGTTAGGTTAGGTTAGGTTAGGCTAGGTTAGGTTAGGTTCCAAAACATGGACAGTGGGCGCAGTGGAAAGGAAAAGGTTCGAAATGTGGTGTTATATTATAGGCCAATGATGAGGATACCGTGGATAGAGA